GTCAGACCAATACTTTTACATTTAGTTGCTTGCTTTTGGAGTCAACCATTAAGCCACAGAACTTCTCCAAAGGACAGAAGCCAGAGGATCAGCGCACGCAGCACAGGACATCACCAGATGGGATAAGGTTTCTTACATGCACACTTTTAGGGGTTTTCCACTCTAGGGGTCATGATTTTTTCCTACATAGAGACATGTACAATGGAACTGGTTTAAATTTTTCCCATTTTTCCTACCTTAAGTGGCAAAAGGGGAAGCAGCAGGGGAATGAAAACTCCAAGATTAATACATCCGGGGAAAAAACAATGCAATGAAAAAATTACTGCTGAAAGTGACAGCAGAGTGGGCGGATAATAAGCCCAAATACAACTTTAAACAACTTCCCTGAAGGCAGACTCTGACAAACGTAGCATTGTATCAATCCAGGGGTAGAAATCAGGAAATTCCAGGAAGGATTTCATTGCCTCGTCTCTCCTGTGGAGTACCAGGCAAATTTCCACAGTGTGGAAAATAAATAAATAAATGAAATCACATGACAGCACTTAGGTTTGTGTATCCAAACAGTTGCAAATAATTGAGTACTGAGCTAGGACGAAGGGAGAGCAAGAGGATGAATACATCTGGGGCCAGCCCTTCAATTCACACGCGTCTGACAGCCAGACTCAGGCTGGAGAGGCCGCTAAGCTGCTTGTTTTCGCGTAGCTGGGAGCCACGAACGATACACAGATGGTGCTTCGCTCCAGCTGGGGTGCAACATATCTTTTTTTTAATTGATAACTTACGCTAGAGATGTTGCAGAGAGATTTCTTTTTCTCTGTGTGGTCCAACACCCAAACACTCTGGAGAGATGCCAGCGGTGCAGTCGCTGCCATGCAGGTCAGAGAGCATCCCTTCAGAGCCGCTGGTTCGCTTAATTAGTGCTGTGTGCCAGTATCTGTGTGTCTGTGTGTATTCCTGCTTCTAGCTGCTGGTCTCTGTGTTGCACTTGTGTGAAGGCAAATATTTATACTCCTGTCCTATTGTCCCTCCTCCGCTTGCTGCTCCACTGAATATGTGGGACATGTGGTGGGAGAGAAAGTATTCCACCATATCAGATTGCTTACATAGAGGAGGAGATGTTCAGAGTCTATAAGATGTAAATTCCCAGTCAGATTCTCTGAAAAATACTTCTTAAATTAAGAAGTATTTTTAACATTTTGCTTGTGTGTGTATTTATCATTCACTGTATTCTGCATATGCTTAGTTTGGGAGTTTTTTAATTGACCAAATAATGAAAGAAATGCCGTGCTTTAAATCATCAGAAAGTGCCTATAAGATTATAAAATGAATCATGCTTTATCATTTTCAAATTGTTCTAGCACAGTAAATCTGTGACATCTTAAAACGACCTAATAACATGAAGTCTTATTTTTCCACACTCAGTTGTTGTAATGGTAGTCTTAAGAGTTCAGTGTAATTTTATAGCTGAAATGTAATGAGCTAGATACATGTACGGTATTTCCAGCTACTCATCGTAACCTATGAACGGACTGTAAATGCGAACAGCTATGGCCAGCCTTGGATATTAAATCTGCAGGAGCCTAAATGAATGCTAAAGTCCTTGACAAATGCTCTCGTACTGCAGTACTGTGGTATTCAAATCACATACACATTAAGAACACTGTTAATTTACATAATCACTTTAGTTTCTTTTCTTTTGTGGTTTGTTTTGCTTTTTTATTCTTATTGTTTTGAAATGTTACGACCTTTCAAACTCAACAAAACTGAGCACTAAAGAGACTCTATGCTAAACTATCAATAACAGATAATTTTTCTCTAACATATATTAAACACCTTCCCTTGCTTGATATTTCCTTCTGTTTTGCTGCCATTACTTTATGAGATTGATTATCATAGAATCGTAGAACCATAGAATGGTTTGGGTTGGAATGGACCTTCAAGGTCATCTAGTTCCATGGGCAGGGACACTTCCCACTAGACCAGTTTGCTTATAGCTCCATCCAACCTGGCCTTGAACACCTCCAGCAACTGTTTATCATGTCTTAATATATACATTCAAGACGTCTGTGTAACTTCGTTGGACATGTACAAACCTACTACTATTCTATATGGACAACTTACTAACATCAGAATTCCTGGTACAGTTTCCTCCTTCTTAAATGCACCAAAATGCTTTTAACAGCCATCCATATACAGTCAGCATTGCGGACACGCAGCATGATCTGACTACAAGTATCAAAGAACTTTAATGTCGGCAGTTAGAACCACAGTGTAATTTTTTATCTAAAGTTGGTTGAACACAGCAGAGCCCCCTCAACTTGCTCAGGAGTAGTTTTTAATTAGGACTGCTTGCTCAGTACCAAGGTGACTTCCTTTGGAAAGAGGCACTGTTTGCACTCTCCACTTCAGTACCTGAACCCAGCTGGAATCTATGTGTCAGGGCACGTGGAAGCAGAGAGCACCTGCTTCATTAACATCACCTGATCAAGGACCTTGTCAAGTGGGATGACAAGGAGAAGGGGGAAAGCACAAACATGCCCCAACAATGCTTACAGGGACAGCAGCAGGGTACCGCCCTGCTCAGCCAGACTCACCGCTATGTGGAGCGGGAGGATGCTTGTTTCAGCAGGTTGAGCTGTATGGAGACCTTGTCAAAATGCAGTGAGCACCCAGCTGGACACGCTGGTGAGTCAGGGACTACGGAGCAGGTAAGAGGGCCTGGGATCCAGGCAGGGGTGTCAGACAGCCAGGGGGGTTGTGCCTGTACTCAGGGATCTGCAACTGCATGTAGGCTGGTGAGCGTATGTCCTGGTTTGAGTGACTTAAGGCTAATTTCTCTTCTAATGCTTGGGAAAAACGTACTTTTAGAAGACTACGGTGTCTTACTTTGTGAAAACATTTACTTTATAGCCAGCTATGGTGTGTGGGTTTCAAGGTCTCAGTGTTTTCGAGCTCGCCAGGCGCAGGGATGAGGAGCGAGACCCAGGCACTTGACCCAAGCTGGCCAACGGGATTATTTCATACCATCAATGTCACATTAGATATAAATTAGAAAGTTTGCAGCAAGAGAGTCCATGTCCATGGGGAGAAGCCATGAATGTGAGGGCAGGAGAGAGGGATTCTTCACAGCTACCTGCCCAAAGGATGCTCCAAGGTAGTTGGGAGCATCAGTTAAGGCAGGTCATTTTGTCCATGCTAAATTAAAGTGAGCCCATTCTAAATGGGCTAATTTTGAACCAGAATGGCTGCAATTTTGGAGCTCTAATAAAAAGTATGCTATAGTAATTCTTATTAATTTCATTATTACCCTACTAAATACGAAAACTCTGATTATTGTGAAATCTGAAGAGTGACAAGAGGGTGGTAGCGGCCATGGAAAAGTTAGAAAGCTGCACTACAGAAGTCCATTTCCATGTAGGAGTAATAAAAAGCCTCTGACCAGAAATTGTATGATATAATTTGAGGTCTTTGCAACACATCATCTTGTTATTCCCACATCTCTGGCAAACTGCCACCTCTCTATATACATAATTTTGAATAATAACGACTATTATTTCAAGGAATTCATTACTATGTTAACAAGTCTTCTCTACTGTTTACCAGGTTTCTCTGGCATGTGTTGTTGTTAATAAGCCCCATATCACATGCAGCATTTTAAAATGGTTTATAGGAGAAAGGTTTTCACAGCCCTCAAGTACGATGCAAAAACGAATTCACCCTTATGCATACAGTTTCCAGCTGCTAACTTCTCACAGTATGGCCATGCGTCCCTGGAAACACACACCCCATAAGCAGCATTATCCTTTGTACCTGAGAGAGGTCATGTCAGGTATTTCCACCAAATGAATTAGATTGCCTTCATTTCTTTTAACTTTAGCCAGTAAAGCATGGGGTATGCCTTCAAGCCATGACAATTTTGTTCCTTATACTTCTAAAATCTGTTTTGAATAGCCGTGGATGTTTTCATTAAACATACTGAAGTCAAATCCTTTAAATGTTCTATTAAGCCGTTGGCCTCAGAGATGATTTGCATAATTAACTACAGGTAAAATGAAATGGCTTTATTGTCTATGTCACATTGGTTTTGGTCCCTTTCCTCTTGATTTGTGAAATAGAGTATATAGGAATATCAAATCTAGTTTTTCAGTACCATTCACTATGTCTCTACCTTTTTAATATATAATACATAATTCCCCATTATGCAGAATCTTTTCTTAAGTTATTATACTCCAACCTTTCAATGGCATCACATCTTGTTCATTTCTATAATAACTATACATTGCAGAGATGGTTTCACGGAACCATTCACAATGATATACGAGTCTTTGTCTTTGGTAAAGATAATTTACTGCCATGGGATATTAATATTCCTCTCGATACATCATTCTGTATTGCTCATTCACCCGGTTCACCATGGCTAACTGAAATTCCTCAGCCTAATCTTACAATAATGAGGGACGTATGGTTTTGCATTGCACAAAAACACTGCAGCCATATGGTCAACTTCTTTTTCTGCCTCTTCGTTAAACACGCTAACAGCTCTGTTTCGTACTCTGGAACCTGGCAGCACACCTACTATTGTTTTTGTCATATTTTCTCTATTATTTTTTCTCTCGCGCAGCCTGTTTTTAATCAATGGCAGCCGTATGCCTCCCAGATTGCGATCACTTCACTTCACGCGTAGTCTCCCGTGTGTGACATTACATGAGCCTTTTTCCCAAGTCCAAACACATTTTAATCAACCGGCTCTCTCCTCCCCACCGCGCCGCTGATGCCCTGAGAGACTCCAGCAGATTGCAGAAATACTACAGGCCGTGCTCAGCATTTCTAATTCTGGCACAATAATTCAGCAACAATTTGGGTGAGCGTACTGCAAGGCTGTCTGGGCTTACCGTGACATTCCACAAGCGTTTCACTATGACGGCTGTAACGTAAAGCCTTTTCGGGAAGGAATGAGTCAGTGCAACCCCAGGCCACCTTCCTTTGGCCCAACAGCCGCCATGAGCATGGCCGGCCTCTGCGGCCTCTTGCGCCCTGTGACACGGCAGCCTGCAATGTCTGTTGTTCGCTGTATGTCACGCCGACACATTATTTGCAAATGAGGCAAGGACTTTTCTTAACCAAGTGTTTTAAAGTACTTCCAAGGGGGGTTAAGTATCACCATCCCTATGTGGAGGGAAGCGCTGGGCACCGGGTGTTAATGGGGGGAGACATCATGGGCGCCTCCAGCCACGTAACACTCGAAGGCTCCTGCACGTGCAGCACACCTGAGGTGTGTAACTGCTTTTGTAAAGAGCTGAGCTGCCCCACCGCCGGCATCGAACTTTAAGGGAGGCGGCGGGAATGTTCCCTTCCCCGCCAGACCCTGGGTTGCTGGACCCTGAGGGGATGTGAGGGAGGTGGCTCTGCCCCTCTGCTCCACCCTGGGGAGACCCCACCTTGAGTATTGCCTCCAGCTCTGGAGCCCTCAGCACAAGAAGGACATGGACCTGTTGGAGAGGGTCCAGAGGAGGGCCACGAAGATGATCCGAGGGCTGGAGCACCTCTGCTGTGAAGACAGGCTGAGAGAGTTGGGGTTGTTCAGCCTGGAGAAGAGAAGGCTCCGGGGAGACCTTATAGACCTGTCTGGTGCCTAAAGGGGCTACAGGAAAGATGGGGAGGGACTCTTTGTCAGGGAGTGGAGCGATAGGATGAGGGGAAATGGTTTTAAACTGGAAAAGGGCAGATTTAGACTAGATGTAAGACATTTTTTATGCTGTGGGCCGTGAGACACTGTCCCAGGTTGCCCAGAGAAGCTGTGGCTGCCCCATCCCTGGAGGTGTTCAAGGCCAGGCTGGATGGGGCTTGGAGCAACCTGGGCTGGTGGGAGGTGTCCCTGCCCATGGCAGGGGGTTGGAACTAGGTGGTCTTTAATGTCCCTTTCAACCCAAACCCTTCCATGATTCCATGACGCCGAGTACTCTCGGGCGGCCCTTCCCCTGCCAGGGCGGGCGGTGGGAGGAGCGGCCATGCCGGAGAGCCCTGTCAGCGCGGGAGGGGAGGGACTGAGGCGGGCTGCGGCGGGGTGCTCGGCCGGGGCCCGGGCCCCCGGAGGGAGGCGGCC